TTCACCTGCATCTTTCAATATTATGAATATATCATAATTTAAATTATTACTCATTTTTCATCTTCATCCTCACTGCATCATCACTTTTATCATCAATGTTCTCTTTAGTTCGTGATCACAGCAGACTGTCAGTCACATGCCTAAGAAAGCCCAACTTTTGACACTTTGAGTAGAATCTCTCAATTTTTCGCCTAATCAGTCTCTGAACCTGTGTGGGCCTTTTACTTACTTATAAAAATTAACTATAAATAATTCTTGCTTTATAAGATGTGCTGAAATTCTGTACTTGCTTTGAGGACAAGTAACTTAATGAATTTACAATATCCCTATGATAACTTACTGAGCTCCTCTTGCACTTTCTTCCAATTTTCTGCTTCTTGTGAGCTGGGATATGTCATTAGTAATCCAGCCAGGGCTTCTTTTACTTTTTGGATCTTTGGAGAGTTCTGTTCCAACTCTGCCAGGAAGGCCTAGGAGAAAGAACATCATGTATGTCATGAAATTCCAGACAGGAAACACAGCTGCATGTAGTAGAAATAACTGGAAGACTGGGCAGCAATTATATGCTCTACTTCTGATTCTATCCATGACTTGCCTTGAGATTTTAAGATATTTAACCTTTCTGCCTCAAGTTTTACTTTAAAATGAAAATTTGGATAACAGGATCCAAGTTTCTTTCATATAGAATGTAACAGTATGGTCCCATAAGAAGTTATTAATCCTTATAAACTAAAACCATCATGATATGATGATGATGATGTTTTTGTGGTTGGAGAAGATGTTGTCATACTATGCTCAATTGGAATATTAAAAATTTTGGTGAAAATTTCTTACAGTTTTTTTTAAGGTGGTCTTTTCTTTTGGTATTTTTCCTAGTCCTATATGTCTACCTTAAGAATAAACTATAATCACAGGCACTTACATCACTTCAAGGGTTGGAAAAGTAGGAAATCAATACCGTTCTCAATAGCTACCAAAAAAATAAAATACTTGGGAATAAACCTTACCAGAGATACAAAAGACCTCTACAAAGAAAACTATAAAAAGCTACTTCAAGAAACCATAAGAGACCTACATAAATGGAAAAACATCCCATGCTCGTGGATAGGAA